GTTTGTCGCCCCCTCGTGGCCAGAGCTGGTGGCGGCGGCATCGGGGAAATCTCGGGAACCCAGCAGGGCGGGGCAGGCTGAATGGGGGTCTGGAGGCCCCATCTCTGGTACGCCGCCACCCCCCAACCGCGACAGCGCTGGGACAACAGGCAGAGGCATTTTCTGGGACAGGCCAGGTGGGGGTAAAGGGCAGCAGAGCCGGCAGGCAAGAGGTGGGTCACAGGCTACCATGGGAGTTTTACTGGCTTTTCTGTATTGATTATTATTTTTTAAATTTAAATTCAGTTAATTAACATATAATGTAGTATTGGTTTCAGAGGTATAGGCCTGTGATTCATCAGCCTTATATAACACCCAGTGCTCATTATATCACATGCCCTCCCAATGTCCATCACCCTGTTACACCACCCCCACCTCCCCACTTCCCCACCCCTCCACCCCGCCCCAAGCAACTCTCAGTTTGTTTCCTATGATTAAGAGTCTCTTGGGACGCCTGGGTGGCTCAGTTGCTTAAGAGGCTGTCTTTGGCTCATATCATGATCCCAGGGTCCTGGAATCAAGCCTGCTTCTCCCTCTATTATCTGCTCCCCCTGCTTGTGTGTGCTCTCTCTTTCTCTGCTCCCCTCTGGCAAATAAATAAATAAAATCTAAAGAAAAAAAAGTCTCTCATGGTTTGTCTCCCTCTCTGGTTTTGTCTTGTTTCATTTTTTCCTCTCTCCCCCTATGATCCCCTGCCTCGTTTCTTAAATTCCACATATCAGTGAGATCATAAGATAATTTTCTCTGATTGATTTATTTTGTTTAGCATAATACCCTCTAGTTCCATCCACATTGTTGCATGTACTGGTTATTTTTATTCTATTTTAATTTTTAAAAATTTATTTGACAGAGACATAGCAAGAGAGTGGACACAAGCAGAGGGAGTGGGAGAGGGAGAAACCAGCTTCCTGCCCAGCAGGGAGCCCGATGTGGGGCTCCGATCCTAACCAACTGAGCCACCAAGGTGCCCTGTATTCATTAATTTTAGTGTGAGCATCATTCCTCCCTGCTTCCTGCTGAGTGCCAGGGGCAGATCCAGGCCCACTCTGGGCCTCAGTTTCCCTATCTCTAGAGTGAAAGGATCTAGCTTGTAGGAGGGGGCATGGAGGCATGGCCTCGCACCCAGCTGCACCCAGCTGCACCCAGCTGGAGGCCGGCCCCTGATCTACACTAGCCACCGGTAGGTGTCTTTTCTGAGTGGCTGGTGGCTGTGGCGGGTTACCCCTCCTTCCCTGCCCCTCACTTCCACCTTCTCAGGAGACCCACTAGGTGAAAATCAGATGCAGAAACCCAAGGGCTGGAAGAGTCAAGTGGTGTTCTTTCTAAACTCCCCCCAACTCTTTTGTGGTTTGCTGGCACTACTGGAGTTGGGCAGGCAGGCCTCTCCTATCTGGCAGGGTCTGCCTGGCTGACTTGGGATCTGAGGACTTCCAGCAGGGCTGTTGCAGGTCCACACTTGACCTTGTGGAGTCTAAGGGGATGTGGGAAATACAGGCAAAAGAAAAAAAAATTCCTTACTACTTACAGCCCATTGACGAGTCCTTGAAACAGTCAGAGTAACCTTCCTCTGGGAGCTCAGCAGCCTATACGTTAATACTTTGCTAAGGGCAAAAGACCCAACCCCCCAGGATCCTCTAAGATCTAAAGTACAGACTTAGGATCTCCCTAACCTCCTCCCAATTGAAAGTCTATAATCAGCCACTGGTCACAAGCCCAGTGCAGCTCTTTCTGACCACGGGTCCTGTCCCAGTGATTTAATAAAACCACCTTTTTTTTTTTTTTAAAGATTTTATTTATTTATTTGAGAGATGGAGATCACAAGTAGGCAGAGAGGCAGGCAGAGAGAGAGAGAGAGAGAGGAGGAAGCAGGCTCCCTGCTGAGCAGAGAGCCTGATGCGGGGCTCGATCCCAGGACCTTGGGACCATGACCCGAACTGAAGGCAGAGGCCTTAACCCACTGAGCTACCCAGGCGCCCCTAAAACCACCTTTTTGCACCCAAGATGCCTCAAGAATTCTTTCTTCACCGCTGGCTCTGAACCCCAATCATTTCTCCACCATTGGACACTTGTTTGCAAAGGAGACTGAAACCTCCCACAAGGCAGTTGCCAGAGGATTAGCATACAGCCCTGGGGCCACCCACTGCTCACACCTTGACCTTCATACTCAAGGTTAAACTCCCAGTTAATGTTTGCTGAGGAGAAACCTCAAGCTTCCAGGCTTAAGGATAATAATTAAGGGTTGCTTGGACTGCTCAGTCACTGAGCGGCTGCCTTCTGCTCAGGTCATGAACCCAGGGTTCTGGGATGGAGCCCAGAATCAGGATCCCATTCAGCGGGGAGCCTGCTTCTCCCTCTCCCTCTGCCTGCTGCTCTGCCTACTTGTGCTCTCTTTGTCAAATGAATAAATACAGTCTTTAAAAAAATAATAAATAAAATCCTCAGGATGCCTGGGTGGCTCAGTTGGTTAAGCCTTTGACTCTGGGTTGTGATCCCAGGGTCCTGGGATGGAGTTCCTCATAGGGCTTCCTTGCTCAGTGGGAAGCCTGCTTCTTCCTCTGCCTGCCATTCCCACTGCCTGTGCTCGCTCTGACAAAACAATAAAATCTTTTAAAATAAAAATAAAATTTTTATGAAGGCTTCATAGTCTGTGCAATTTTCTGCAACTTTATTCATGCCTTGTTAGGAGTCACCTAACTTTATGTTAATGCTGTTCTTCTAGTTCATCACTTTTCACTGATGACCGGCGTTCTCGGGTCAACCACAAATCATTCTCGGGACAAACCACAGATGACGGACATCTGGGCTGTTAACAGTATGCTGCATTTGTGAACAGAAGTTATTGAGCATGGGATTAAGAGTTCTTATTTTCAGGCAGACCCAGGAGAGGAACTGTTGGAATTTGCTGGCTTGTCAGGTGTTTGCAACTCCCATTTTCTAGGTATGCCCAGATGGCTCTCCAGCGTCATTGCACCCATCTACATTTTCATCAACAGCGAGCATTCCAGCTGATCTTTATTGCCTTGGTATTGTCAGAATGAAGCTGCCAGTCTGTTGAGTGGGACATAATATTCTGTTGTCGATCCAGTTTGCATTTCCTCATTGCTGATACAGGCAAGAATCTTTTCATGTTTTTTTGGCCACTTCCGTTTATATTCTATACATTCCCGGTTCAGAGACTTTGCCCATTGTCTTGTTTTATTCCGAATACTAATACTTTTTTGGTCATAAGCTTTTCGACAACTTCTCCAACGTGGTAGCTTTTAGTCTCACTTTTTATGGTTATCTTTTAACATAGATTTTTAATTTAATAATTTTTTGATTATTATTTATTTTTATTTTTAATGATATTAAATCCTCATAAGAAACCTGTATGTTTTATCCTTACTTATTCTGAGGTTATTGTAGAAGCTGCTTTTAGGCAACCAACTTGCGCAATGGACACCTGAGTAGGGTAGAAGGGCACACAGTGACCACCTACTCCCTGGGTGAATACAAGCAGGCCCATTGAGTGACCCACCTCAAAATATGTTGAAGCCCTAGTTGACCAGCACAGCTATTTGCAGGAAAAAAATTTTTTTTTGAAAAATAACAACAAAAAAAGAAAGAAATCTATTTAAATAAAATATTAGGAACTGAAACCAACAATGTGTTAATAGCAACAATGACAACACTATGAACAAGTTGTGTTTATCCTAAGAATTAAAGGATTAATTACCCCTAGAAACTCTATTGATGTAACTGAGCTCATAAACAGTACAGTAGAACCCATATGATCATTGCAACAGGTGCAGAAAACACATGCAATTAGCAACTGCTACTACTTTATTGTATTTTTCCTTAATAACGCATGATGTTTTTAGAAAAACCTTTTTAAAAGATTTTTATTTATTTGTCAGAAAGAGGGCACAAGCACAGGGAGAAGCAGACTCCCTGCTGAGCAGGGAGCCGGGACTTGGGCTTGATCCCAGGACTCTGGGATTGTCCTCTGAGCCTAAGGCAGAGGCCCAACAGATTGAGCCACCCATACGTTCCAATGTTTTTAGAAATTTTTTTTTAGAGCAGAGCAGCAGGGACTGCTGGGTGGCTCAGTCAGTTAAACAACCACTCTGGATTTCGTCTCAAGTCATGATCTCAGGGTCTTGCAATGGCGTCCCCAGTTGGGCGGGTGCTGAGCTGGAAGCCTCCTTGGAATTCTCTCCCTCTGCCCCTCCTCGAGCTCGAGCCCTCTCTCTCTCTCTCTCTCTCTCAAAAAATTTTTAAATGTATTATTATTATTATTTTTAAAGATTTTATTTATTTATTTGACAGAGATTACAAGTTGGCGGAGAGGCAGGCAGAGAGAGAGGAGGAAGCAGGCTCCCTGCTGATCAGAGAGCCCGATGTGGGGCCTAATCCCAGGACTCTGAGGTCATGACCTGAGCGGAAGGCACAGGCTTTAACCCACTGAGCCACTCAGGCGCCCCAATTATTATTATTATTTTAAATTCAGAGCAGCAAAAATCAAACAAAAACCAGACATGAGCAAGAAAGATACTGCAGGTTTCGTTCTGGTGTATGTCCCAACACAGTCTTTGCTCAAAAGGCTTCCTAAGGTCATTTTTGGATATACGCTTCTATGACCACAAAGAGTGTCTTTGCCAAGTCTGGCTCGGTTTGGCCTTTTTCCACGTCCTGGATTCCACGCAGGATCTGAGAAGCCCTGAGAAATAAAAGATTAGGGGCGCCTGGGTGGCTCAGTTGGTTAAAGCCTCTGCCTTCGGCTCAGGTCATGGTCTCAGGGTACTGGGATCGAGCCCCGCATTGGGCTCTCTGCTAGGCAGGGAGCCTGCTTCCCCAACCCCCTCTCTGCCTGCCTCTCTGCCTACTTGTGATCTCTCTCTCTCTCTAATAAATAAATAAATCTTAAAAAAAAAAAAAAAAAGAAATAAAAGATTAACCAGCTCCAGTGGACCCTGTGGTTCCTCACCTCCAAGGTCCAGCCTCTCATGCCATCAACCCCAAACCGGTTCTCCGCTCTGCACCCAAATCACTGGCTCTGCCAGGACTGACGGATGAGAGCGCTCCAGAGACTGGTGGGTCTGCTCTTCAGTCCCTTCTGATTCTGTCCCTCCACTGGGTCAAGGGAGGGGACCTGGATTGGGGGAGGGTGGGGACGTCGGTGGGAGCAAGGGTGGGGCTCCTGTGCCGTGGTGGTTGGCAGGGGGGCTGTTGGGGGTAAAAGGAAGCAGGGGAGAGGGGCCAGGAGGGGCAGCCGCGGAGGTCCAAGGGGGAACGAGGCAGGGACCGGCATCACACCGGAGGCGGCAGCAAGAAAAAGGACGAGAGACCAGGACAGGGTTTCGGGTGAATCTGGAGGTCGCTGGGACTTCCCGGGGCAACTGCAAGGCGTAGGCCATGGTGACCTCGGACCACAGTTCCCTTCCGGTTTGCAGAGACGGGCCCCAGGCTCGGCCGACCAAGGAGTGTGTGGCTTTTCAGCCTCAAAGGATGGAGGAAGAACACCACCGGCCCTGTTGGATCTCGTTCCCCGGTGACGGTCTGAAGCGCCTCACACCCTGTAACCGCCCTCTGCGCCTGCGCAGGTGTCTAGGGCGCGCGCTCTGCCCAGAGGCACGCTTTGCGCGAGTCTTTCGCTCACTCAACTGCCCTCAACACCCACAGCGCTTGTGCATCGCATCCGCTTAAGGCCTCTGAGGTGGCAAGCGCGTCTACCACGCCCACTGCGCATGCGCTTCCCCAACGTTTCTGGGGTCCTGCAGCAAAGATCCCTCCCTCTGTTCCGCGCGCTTGAGCGTCGGGGCGCCCGGTTACGGCAGGGGCAGTTCTGAATGGCAGACTCGATGTTGTAGCGAATGCTAGAGAAGTGTGTACGTGCTCGATGCCGTCCTGCGATCGGGAAAGTTCTGAATTCCGAAACACGCCCGGCCCCGGTGTTTGGGAGGGATAGCAGACCGGCGTTAATGCACCGGCGCAGCCCCTCTAGAAGGCTTAGCGGAGGAGTCCGTGTATAAAAGTAGTTGGTGCTTGCTTGTCCAGTGGAGTTAGGTGCTGGGCTCCGAGGAGCATAAGCTGGAGGTCGCGTGCAGGAATGGCCAGGGGGCCAGTGCAGCGGTGCATGGGGTCACCTGTCTGCAGAACTGTGGCTGGGCAGCATCCCACGCGAGCAGCCCTCGTGCTTCCCACGTTGTTCTGGAGTCCTCTGGTGGGTCGGACATGCCCGCAGAGACAGCAGCCCTTGGGCACTGCAGTCCTGGTCGCCTCACCCCCTCCCGCGACTGTTTCCCACCCTCGCCACATCCCCAACCTTCATTTCCTCCTCCACGCTCCCTCTGAGCCCTGTCCTGATGTTCTGCTTCACAGAGAAGTGGGGGCAGCCAGAAGAGAACATCCACGCCACCCACCACCCATCTTTGGGTTCCCCTATCCTCTTCCCCAGAGCTCCAGTCCTCCCACTCCTCTGCCAGCCTGCACTAATTTCCTTCAGATACCTGCATGGCACATTCCCCCGTGTCCTTCAAGTCCTTGTGCAGATGTCACCTTCACAGGGCCTATTCTCAGACCACACGCTCCAAACACTCCCTCACACCCTTCCCTGCTTTATCTCTGCTTTACACCAGCTGACATACTTTGTGTTTTCCTTGTTCATTATGTCATTGCTGGTCTTCCTCCGATGGAAGGAAGGCTCTGTGAGGTCACGGATTCTGTTGCCAGTTCCATGGTTATATCAGTAGCACCTGGAACAGCTGGCTTATTTTCCACACTAGGGAGGCAAGAAATATCTGTTCACTGAATTGTTAATCACTGGTATAGCTAATGTTGTCATGCTTTTCATGATCAGGCACAGGACTAGGCAATCTCCATGCATGATCTCGGTGAATCAATTTCCTACCTCAAAAAATTGAGCATCCCTAAAAAATATACTGACCTAAGGGGACAGGACCTTAGCATTGAGCTCTCATGGCTGGGTGCTCTGGAGAGTTCTCTCTCCATCTTCAAGGGTGTTGCACGGTGCAGTTAAGCTTCTGACTCTTGGTTTCTGCTCAGGTTCTGATCTCAGGGTCCTGAGATCGAGCCCTGCATGGGGCTTATGTGCAGCATGGAATCTGCTTGAGATTCTCTCTCCCTCTGTCCCTCTGGTTCATTCTCTCATTCTCTCTTAAATCAATAAATCTTTAAAAAAGATTAACTGCTATCTTGGAGACCTGCCAACATTTTCTGCCCCATGGGCTTTGTGTATGTGTGTATGTGTCTCTCTCTCTTTTGGGGGGAGGGGGTTATTATTATTATTATTTTTTACTAATGTCTGCACTCAACATGGGACTCAAACCCTGACCCTGAAATCAAGAGTCACATCTTATTCCAACTGAGCCAGCCACCTCTTGCTGCTTCCTTTTTTTTTTTTTTTAAGATTTTATTTATTTACTTGACAGAGGGAGAGAGAGCACGAGCAGGAGGAGCAGCAGGCAGAGGGAGAGGGAAAGGGAGAAGCAGGCTCCTTGCTGAGCAGGGGCTTGATCCCAGGACCCTCGGATCATGACCTGAGCTGAACCGATGGAGCCACCCAGGCACCCCCCTCTTGCTGCTCCCTGCAGATCTTCTAAGTGGACCATTCGCCTCCATGCAGCCCACATGGAGCGTCAATGTGACTCCAGTGAGATGGAGTCCTGGGCCCTCACCTGGCTCCCTCTTCCGGCTTCCAAAAGGAAGTTATTTAGGCCTTAGGGAACTGTGGGCAGGTCCTCCAATGGACCTCCGATGGACCTGTGCCACAGGTCTCTAGACCTGTGGCAAGATCTTTGACAAGATCCTGCGCTCCAGAGCCCCTTCCTCAGCCTCCCCGTTGCCAGCACAATAGCTCACCAAATGGAGAAAGCACATCAGTTTTTACCCAGCTGGGTCAGCTCCCTAGCACCGTTCCTAGCTGGGACAGGCACTGGGTGTTTGATAAAACGAATAAATAGTCGTCAGGTTCTGGAAGTTCTTTGGAAAATCTTCAGCCAAACATCCTTCCGCCATGAAACCGGTATGAAAGTACTTAAAAAATCATACATTTGTCTTGTAGGATTTCAGATTTGTAGGGTGATCTGCTAGAACAAGACAGGCAGTATGATTTACTAGGAAAAGATCAATGATTTGATTTTTGTGTAGTCAACTACTTTGTGCATGCCTAGGAAAGTATCTGAGAGGAGCAGTTCAATGCTGTGCCTTTGGGTCAGTGGAGAACTTTCAGCATATACTAAATTTTCGAGCATTTTAATAAGCATGTTGTTTTGTCATTAAAAACTAGAAGAGGGGGACGTCTGGGTGGCTCAGTTGGTTGAGCCGCTGCCTTCGGCTCAGGTCATGATCCCAGAGTCCTGGGATTGAGTCCCCAGTTGGGGGGGGGGGGGTCCTTGCTCAGCAGGGAGCCTGCTTCTCCCTCTGACTGCTGCTCCCCCTGCTTGTGCTCTCTCATACATACACAAAAATAAATAAAGTCTTTTAAAAAAAAATTGAGCATCCCTAAAAAATATACTGACCTAAGGGGACAGGACCTTAGCATTGAGCTCTCATGGCTGGGTGCTCTGGAGAGTTCTCTCTCCATCTTCAAGGGTGTTGCATGGGGATGAAAACTGTCCTCTGTTGTACCAAGTGTGTGTGGCACATGTGTACATTGGCTGCCTATCCCCCACCCTGGAGGTAGGCATGATCATCTCCAGGTCCAGTAAAGAAGTGACCCAGAGAGGACAAGGGAGGAGGGGCAGAGTTGGCAGCAGGACCCAAGCAGGGCCACCAGTTGTGGCTACTCTCTGCTACTTCATATGCCCCACAAGTCCCCACACATACAGATCCATGCGGCCCTTCTGTTAGCCTTACTATGAAACAGGCTGGCAAGTGAGAGAAGGAGGTGCAGCCTCTCTGTTGGAGAATGTTTTGCTAGGGTCAGCCACTGGGGCTGGGGAGCTCTAGTCCTGCTAGGGGCAGAGCCTCACTCTCCTGGGGCCCCAGCTCAGAGCATTGTGCCCCAGAACAACAGCAGGCAGGCCTTCCCAGGGACAGCCTGGCACAGAGGGCCACAGACCTGTTGTCTATTTTGGGAAGATGCTGATGGGGGAGAGGGTGGAGGATGAGGGGGCAGTGAGGCCTGGAACTCGAGAGCAGATACTGGGGTTCCTCAACCTGCCAACCACGTGACCTAAGTAACCCCTCCTCTCTTTGCCTCAGTTGGCTTATCTGCAAAGTGGAAACATCACTGCATAGTTGAACTAGATTGCAGTGCCGTGATTGGCAGGTTGCAGCCCTGGGAGGGAGGTGGAGGCTATTAAAAGTCACTCTGTATCCTTCCCTCTCTCCTCAGATTCAGGGCAGGGTCCTGCTCCTGACCACCTGTGCGGCTGGCATTGGTGGGACTTTTCAATTTGGCTACAATCTCTCCATCATCAATGCCCCAACTTTGGTATGTATTTTCTGTGCCCGCCATTCCTATCCCAGTAGGTGCGGGGGAAGGCTAACAGTTGCCTGCTGTGGGGTTCAGGCCAGCATCCACTTTGTGGAGCTTTCCCCCCACGCATCTACCTTCACTGAGATGGCCCACAGGTCCTACAGATGCAGGTTCAAACCCAGCTCTACATCCTCCCTTGAACCTGTATGTCCTCCTGGGTCTCGGATGTCAGTGGATATCTCTACTGTCTGCCTAGTGGGGGACCAGCCTTGACTCTGCCCCTTGCCCCCAAATACCGAGCCCTTCCTAACTACCTCTTGCTAGCCATTTCTCCCTGTGTCTCTGCCATGACTCCAGTTCAGACCCTGTCTCTCCTTCCTGGACCCCTGGCTTTGCCTCCTCACTGGCCTCGAAAGTTTGACCAAGCCACTCCCCTGCCCAGAAACATTCTGTGGCTCTCCAATGCCTATAGGAATAAGAACAGACTCATCCACCTGAAATTCAAAGCCTCCTTAGATCAGAACCTGTCTACCCGTCCCCTGCCTTCATTCCCTGAACCCCACTAGCAAAGCAATTTAAATGCGGGTCCCCAAATGCACACAGCCCTCTAAGCCTCTTTTGCTTGCTGCAGAAGCCCCTCAAGGACCACCCAAACACCATCACCATCCTGAAACCTTCCTTCAACAGCACCCCCCAACCCCAGGTGGAAGTTGCCCCTCCCTCCCCAGCCCTTAGAGCAGGCTGTCCCCACTCAGGTTGTGTGCCGGTCGTGTGGGGCCCATCTCATCCTCCCGCTGGTTTGCTCTCAGTGTCTGAGTCGTCCTTGTGCCCCCAGCGCATGGTATCGACCTGGCCCAAGGGACTTTCTTGGCCTCAGAGACTCCTAATCCACCAAATGGATTTCCAGCCAAGGGCAGGAGAGGCTGGGCTTGGTTCCTAGCTCTCCTAGACGGTCCTTCCCCCAGAGGGACCTGACAGGCACCAGGCTGACACCCATTACCCTGAGCTAGCCTGAGCCGAGGGGAGCTGGTCCAACCCCTCCATCCGCTGCCCTCCCCACGTCCTCCCTCACATCCTGCTGGGAGGCCTGAGACCAGTCAGACCCTTAAATGTGTTTGAGACTTGCCCAAGTGCAGTCATTCCTCATCCTGTGGCCTCTGTTCACTTAGCTAGAACTGCAGCTCTGGGGGTGAGGGACTGGGGTGTCCTGACCACCCTCTACAGCTCTGACCTGTGGCTAAAGCCATGAGCAAGTCCTTTCACCTCCCTGGGCCTAATTTAGAGTGTAAACAGCAAACAGAGTGACGTGTATCTAACAGAATACCTCTAAGGGCCATCAAAGTTGGGGTCCCCAGGAAGCAGGTGGCACAGTCCAGATAAGTCAGGTAGGTTTAGATGCCACAAGGGACGATTTACAGATTGAGTGTGGCAGAGAGCACGCAAGACTAAGGAGAGCTCAGTGACACCAGAGTCATTACCACGCCTGCCCGCAAACGGACACGTGGAAGGAGCAGTAACCGAAACTGGAAGGAAAGAGACGTGTGGCATAGGACCTCTTGAGAGGAGTGGTGACGTTTGATTGAGTGTCACAGCTGGCCTGAAGGGACCCCCCCAGCCTGAGGTGACCTGGACACAGGCACCCCCCACCTCTCTCTCATGTCCTACTGGTGCTCACCATTGGCCAAGTCCCACAGAAAGCCAGTCAGCTAGGGGCCCACTGATGCGAGCCCTGAGGTTGGGTTCTTGGGCTGAAAGCCAGGGCCCCAGGGGGGTGATCGCGGACTCCGTGGGGCAGACGGAGACCGGCTAGCACTAGGCTCCCAGAGACATATGTGAAGGAGACCTGCCGGGCGCACTCACAGACTAGGAGCTCCGGAGACTCCGTCCCTGCCCCCATAGCCAGGGAGCAATATGGCTGGAGGAAGCCTGGGTGCCTGCTCGGGAGAGGCAGAGCCCTGTCTGGGAGAAGGGCTAGCCTGTCGGGCCTGTTCCTGGAGGCGGACTGGCATCTCTGTCCACAGCCCATTCAGGAATCCATCAACGAGACATGGTGGCTGCGGACCGGCCGGCCACTGTCCGACCACCTGGTTCTGTTTGTGTGGTCCCTCATTGTGTCTCTGTACCCCCTGGGGGGCCTCTTTGGAGCCTTGCTTGCCGGGCCCCTGGCTGTCCTGCTGGAAGGTAAGTGCTTTCTGTGTGTACCCTTGATAAGGGGATTCCCCAGTCTGTAGGCTGAGGAATGTGGGAAAAGGAAGAGCCCCTAGGGGCCCAGGCCCAGGCCTGCTCAACCGCCCCAGCCTCCTACCCTGACAGAAGTTTCATCACAGAGTCACATTTCCAAGCCGATTTGGTAGAAGGAGGAGCCTTGTGCTCTGAGGGAGGGAGGATTCCTGGCGTCTTGTTCCATGTCTGCTGGTAAATTTAGGCTCTTTCTGCAAAAGAGAAGGAATTAGCTCTGACCCCTGGGGTGACTTGGGAGAAGGTCGGCAGAATGGTCAAGTAGGCAGAGTGGTCAAGTAGGCATGCCGACATGAGTAACTTGCTCATGTAAATCTTTGGGGCTCACATGGGGCATCACTGAAATAGTGACTAAGTGCTACTAGGCACACCCTACCTTAGCGAAGGATTGTCCTATGGGACACAATGTGTGATGGATACACGGCCACAAGGGGTCCCAGAGTCTGGTGTAGGCACTACTGACAAGTCCAAGGTTATGTCTAATTAAGAGGATGATAATTCACTGAAGGAGAGTGGCTTTGCTCCAAAACTCTAGGTCTTGCCCTGACTCTCCTTTTAGACACCCGCCGCAGTCACTTGGAGCACCGTAGGCTCTCCTAGGTCTAAAGGGGCGAGTGGCAGAGCGCTTTGCACTTCGCGTGGACCCACTAGAGAACACTGTCTGCGTACTGTCTGTGTTCGAGCTCCCCTCAAAGCCGCCAGGTTTTCAAATCACCTGGTTTGTGTGCGAGAGCATGACACCCAGGGTGGTCCGTGCTCTCTCTCCAAAATGGGAACGAGCTCTCTGAGAGTTGCTCATCCTTCTTAGAGGGAGGGCAGTGATTTCTCATGCCCTTTGGAGGAAATAGGCTGATGGGCGTTAGTCCAGCGAGCCTTGGGAACTTCCCTGATGCGGCAGCTTGAAACTTCTGGTCTTTGACATGCTTGTGCCTTAAAAGACAGTGGACTCTTCTGGTGCTCATTGTCCCCGTCCTTTCAGTGTAAAATCATCAGAGAAGTGGGCCAGCAAGATGCCCCATGGAAGGGACTGTGGCTGAGGTGGGGAGCTGCTCTATCCTCAGGCAGGTCAGTAAAGGTGTAATTCTGCCCCTGCTAGGGAAAGCCAGACGTTTTCCGTGTTGTCTGTGTATGGAAATGGAGCAAAATGCATTTACCAAATAAATACCCCACCCCCAAAGTACTTTATTAATTTACAGCACCAAGGAAACCGTATCTGGTTTTCAGCAGGAGTCACCCGCGGACCAACTTTGCTATAATCTGTGCCATTCTCTATTCTCTAGACCCAGGCAATCTAGATTAGTTCTTATTCCCTCGCCAATGTGCTGCTGGCTTTGAGCAGAACACTGGCCTCCTCTAGGATCCAGCTTCCCCGGCAGAAGCGGGCTCTCCCGAGTACTCTGCGTGACAGCACTTCCGCGCTCAGTATCAGGAATCCCAGAGTCGATGCTTTGGCACAGTTAAGCCGCTGACATTTCTAGTGGCCACTCCCCGGGCTGCAGACTGTCCCACTGAACTAGCCATGGGCCACCCTGCCATCCTGAAAGTTCTGAGAAGTGACTATAATACATGGGAGAAAATGTGAGAGGACAGTACTTGGCTTTCCAGGTGTCTCTTCCCTTACTCTGAAAGTCCCAGCTCTTCTTCTCTATGGTTTGATTGAGTCGGAGAAATCAGAGATCAGGCCCCTCATCTTACAGAAGAGTGGGAGGAAAGCGATGCTTCCTCTGAAAATACTGTCATTTCAAGCTGTGGTGTAGACAGAAAGGACAGTCACTTGGAGTATGTCGGGAGAGGGGTGTGGGAGTATGCCCTTCAAGGCACACCTCGTATGGTCCTAGGCACACTGGCTAGCGGGCATTTCCGTCTGTGTAGCTTAGACTCTTTTTTTTTTTTTTAAAGATTTTATTTATTTGACAGACACAGCAAGGGAGAGGGGGAAGCAGGCTTCCTGCTGAGCAGGGAGACTGATGTGGGGCTCGATCCCAGAACTCTGGGATCATGACCTGAGCCGAAGACAGAAGCTTAATGACTGAGCCACCCAGATGACCCTAGCTTAGACTTCTTGACGCAGGTCATACATGCGCACACACAGGTCTGATTGGGGCCAGCTGGAGCTGCAAAGAAGGGTCCCTGGGGAGAGCCCCCCTCCCCCAGACTGAACCTGAGCCTCTCTTGCCTGTGTTCCACTTCCCCTCAGGAAGAAGTCCCTCCTGGTGAATAATGTCTTTGTGGTGGCCGCAGCCACCTTGTTTGGCTTCAGCTGCCAAGCAGGCTCCTTTGAGATGATCATGCTGGGCAGGCTGCTCATGGGAGTCAGTGCAGGTATTGAGGGGGGCGGGCAGCCCATCCTGCCTCCCTATTCCTACTCAGTCATGTAGCCCATTTATTCGTTTGTGTTCTCTTGATTAATTTCATCCATTCATGCATTCTCTTTCTTCACACTTTTCCTTCACTCCCACCTCTCCTTTTGCAAAATGATTATTTTGCAAGATGGTTTATCTCAAAAGGCTCATATAACTGGACCCTTAAAGTGGACATTGAAAGCTGGAAAAGTTGTACAGGGCTGTGAATACGAACATCCCCAAGCCTGTGCTAACAGAGGTCCCATATTTGAGCCACACTATAATCCAGGAGCTTCCTGGCAAGCTAAGGTACAAAGATATCAGGATGAGTTCTCAGATCGTCCCTGTGGAGGCAGAGTAGCCTGTTAGGGGCTCCTCAGTTTCTCGGGCTTGTCATGTGTGGAAGCATATTTACCTGGGCTTTCCCCCCACCCCAAAGACTTTATTTATTTGACAGAGAGAGACATAGTGAGAGAGGGAACACAAGCAGTGGCAGTGGGAGAGGGGAAAGCAGGCTTCCCGATGAGCAGGGAGCCCAATGCCAAACTCAATCCCAGGACCCTGGGATCATGATCTGAGCCGAAGGCAGACACTTAACCCACTGAGCCACCCTGGCGCCCTACCTGGGTTTTTAGAGACAGCCATCAGCAAATCCCCTCTTGACTTACTACTGTTTACACAGCCAGGGGTCTCTGTCTGTGTTAGTTATCTATTCCTGGGAAAGAAAGTACTCTGAAACTCTGTGGTTATGCACACGTCTAGGCTTGAGCATGAATGTCCAGCCCATGTACCTGGGGGAAAGTGCTCCCAAGGAATTCCGAGGAGCCGTGGCCATGACCCCAGCCATCTTCGCCCTGGGGATCGTGATTGGTCAGGTGGTCGGACTCAGGTAAACACCCCGTCTCCCTGTGCCCTGAGTGGTTTGAGGGATGCCAGAAAAAGCCCTCGCCTAAATTTCTCTTCAATCCACTAAGTGTATTAAGGCATTGCTTCTTTGAATTAAGAAATCCTCTTTGTACTGAAATCCTGTCCACACCCATCTGGCCGATACACAAAACGGGTATTAGTCAAACCACCTGAAGTGTGGTTTGGAAAGACTGGGAAGAGGAGTCACTATGGATAAGGTGGGGCCGTGGCCCTGCCTTATTCTGGGATCCTACCTAGGATGGGAGGGATCTTGGTGTCCAGACCCAGAGCTGGTTAGAAAGAAGCAAAGAGCAATACAGGTCCTCTGCCCTTGAGAGGGCGGACAGGCAGGGGACTGGGGTGGGGGTGGGGGGTTACGGGGCAAGTGTGCAGGGCCCTGGCAAGGAAGCACCTGGTCCCTCCTCTCTTCTGCCTCCCCAGGGAGCTTCTGGGTGACCCAGGGGCCTGGCCCCTGCTGCTGGCCAGCTGCCTGGTGCCTGGGCTGCTCCAGCTTGCCTCCCTCCCTCTGCTCCCTGAGAGCTCACGCTACCTACTCATTGACCGTGGAGACACTGAGGCCTGCCTGGCAGGTGAGTCCCTGACCTCAGGTCCCCAGACCACCCATTACACAGGGACACATCTGTCCAGAGCATGTGAATCCCCATTTCTTGGGTTTCCCTTATCAGGAAAAAGCTGTCCTTCACTTTTGTGCCATCCACCCATCTCTTCAAAAGTCTTTTTTTTTTTTTAAGATATTATTTATTTATTTGAGACAAAGAGAAATAGGGCACAAGTGGGGAGGAGGGGCAGAGGGAGAGGGAGAAGCAGGCTCCCCTGTGAGCAGCTAGTCCCATGTGGGCTTGATCCAAGAACCCTGAGATCATGACCCGAGCTGAAGGCAGACGCTTAACTGACTGAGCCCCCCAGATGCCCATCTTCAAATCTCTTTATCAGGGCACCTGGGTGGCTCAGTCAGTTAAGCATCTGCCTTCAGCTCAGGTCATGATCTCAGGGTCCTGGGATAGAGCCAGCCTCTGACTCTGCACTCAACGGGGAGTCTGCTTCTCCCTCTCCCTCTGCTCCTCCCCGCCATGCTCGCTCCCTCTCTCAAATAAATAAATAAAATCTCTTAAAAAACAAACAAACAAAAAAACTCTTTACCAAGGGGCTGTCCGAAGTGCCAAGGCTGCAGGACAGAGTAGACCCCACCCCTGACATCTAGGAACAGCGGGATGGTGCCAATGGAGAGCCCTTCCCTCTACCGCATTTGCAGGATGAAACACTGTGTCACCTGGGTGCTGATGGACTGATTCATTAGCTACAGCCATGATAATAATGCCCAAAAACAATACCAAAAGTCTCTGGCTTAACATAATCCATTAGGGCGTCTTCTACTCATTTACTTACTGGGCAGGCTGCATGACTGCTGATCTCAGCCTGCAGCTCTTACTGTCTGGGAATCGGCCGATGAGCCAGTCCAGGCTGGTCCAGGCCGGAGCCCGTTCAGTTCTGCCGCACACGCCTCTCTCCTCTCTCTTGGTACCAGTGGGCCTGCCTGGGAATGTTCTCTCTCTCATTCTCTCTTTTTTTTTTTTTTTAAGATTTATTTATTTAATTAATTGACAGAGAGAGACAGCTAGAGAGGTAACACAAGCAGGGGGAGTGGGAGAGGGAGAAGCAGGCCTCCTGCTGAGCAGGGAGCCCGATGCAGGCTCGATCCCAGGACCCCGGATCATGACTTGAGCCACCCAGGCGCCCCGGGAATGTTCTTATTACAGTGATGGCAGAGGACCAAGAAAGCAGATCTAGTTGCACGAGTATTTTGCACATCTGTGCTCCCCATGCCCGTGAACAGCCCATCAGCCATGTCATTGAATCCAAAGTCAAGGGATGCGGAGATCAATGGCCTATCCTCTCACATGGCAAAGGCCGTCCATTTAGAGAAAGCTGAGGACCAGGGCCCACTCATGCACCTTCTCAGCTCGCCATTGTGATCACAGCTATTACTGATATCCTTCCCCTAGGCGAAACATGCTCAGAGTCAGCCAGGACCCCTGGTCTCACCCAGTCATGGCACCCGTCTTGCAGTCCAGGATCTGAAGATCACATCAAGTCTCTGTGTGGCTTCTCTTGATCCAGAGACCTAGGAACTAAGAACACAAGTCTTCTGCCCCTCTGAACTCAACACACAATGGTGAAAGTAGGACAGTATAACCAGAACTAACCCTCATTTCCTTTTTTTTTTTTTTTAAAGATTTTACTTATTTATTTGATGGAGAAAGATCGCAAGTAGGCAGAGAGGCAGCCAGAGAGAGAGAGAAGCAGGCTCCACGCTGAGCAAAGAGCCCAATGCAGGGCTTGATCTCAGGACCCTGAGATCATGACCGGAGCCAAAGGTAGTGGCTTAACCCACCGAGCCACCCAGGCACCCCTAACCCTCATTTTAAAGAGGAGGAGTCAAGCAGTCACTGGTCCTTAACGCTAAGGTGCCCCTCGGAAAATGCTGCCAGATCTCCCTGCTTTGCAGGTAGGGAATGTTCCATGATCAAGTCCTGGCTCTGTCGCCTGGGAGGGGCTTTGAGGCCGTGGTGTCCCCTAGTTCTAGCTTCTGCCCTCTGAGATATCCATCCTTGACACCTTCTGAAGAGGGCATTGCAAATATACTCCTAGAAAGTTGAGGTACAGAAGTCTTTACATTTCCAATTGTCTCGTTCCCTTTTCATCCGGTGTAGTGGAGCTTTTGTCAATATCATTCTTTCAGAAACGATGTGATTTTTCTATGTATTTGATTGATGTGCCCAAAAGCCACACCCAAAAGTCTTTTTGGGACATGCTTCCCTCTTGAGACTGAATGACTGGAATTTGGGGCATGGTAGGCTGCTGGGGATCAACACCCTTAAGTCCCCCAAATGCCCCTTTTCCAGCCAGGAGTGTTTATGAGGCACTGGCATTAAACCACACCCTTAATTTGATCATTACCCTTTCATGGCTCACTGACAGGGCTCTGCATTTGATCTTTTTTTTTTTCTTTTTTAAATGATTTTATTTATTTATTTAACAGAGAGAAAGAAATCACAAGTAGGCAGAGAGGCAGGCAGAGAGGGGGGTGGAAGCAGGCTTCCTGCTGAACAGAGAGCCTGATGCGGGGCTCAATCCCAGGACCCTGAGACCATGACCTGAGCCAAAGGCAGAGGCTTAACCCACTGAGCCATGCAGGAGTCCCCCTTTTTTTTTTTTCCAAAGGTTTTATTTATTCATTTGACAGAGAGAGACACAGTGTGAGAGAGAACACAAGCAGGGGATGTGGGAGAGGGAGAAGCAGGCTTCCCACAGAGCAGGGAGCTTGATGTGGGGCTCAATCTGAGGACCCTAGGATCATGACCTGAGCGAAGGCAGACAATTAACAACTGAGCCACCCAGGCACCCCTGGATTTGATATTTGATATTTGCTTTCAGGCTGTAACTTCACATGGAAGTCTTTTTGCTAATTGGTGGGGCTGGAGATGAGAAGGTTTATTTTTTTGTTTTGTTTTGTTTTTAATTAAATCAACCTAGTGAGTTCCAGAATAAATTAAATTTAATTAAATCTTGTTCTCTCTGAAGGTCTTTTTGAGGTCATGTTTTTCTTTCTCTCTCTTTTTTTTTTTAAGGTTTTATTGATTTATTTGATAGACACAGAGAGCACCAGCAGGGGGTTTGGCAAGCAGAGAGAGAGAAGCTGGCTTCCTGATGAGCAAGAGAACCTGATGAGGGGCTCGATCCCAGGCTAGATCATGATCTGAGCCAAAGGCAGACACTTAACTGGCTGAGCCTCCCAGGTGTCCCTCATGTTTTTCTTACAATAAGCTTAGAATAATCAGTGAAAAGCAATCAGTTCATGCTTTCACCACATAAGGATCTCTTCCCTAGAGCCCAGGAGTTCATGAGATCTGTTTTCCTTTTTCTACAATACTGCCCTTCCTACCCACCCAGGTGTCCATTTTTCCAGCCTCCTCTCCATCTCTGCCTGGTATTGGAATTGTACCATAGATTACAGGTCCTAGTATGGTAGCACCTGCACCTGTTAATTAATTCATCAGTTTTCTGTTGCTGCCTATTAATCATACCTCAGTGGCAAGCCAAAGAAGCAATCCCTTAGTTGAAGCTTCTGAGTTCCCTGGGGTTGGCTGATGTCTGCACCTGGCTGGTGGCTCTGCGGGTCTTGGTCGCTCACACAGTCTGCTGGGCATTGGCTAATTTAGGAGGGTCCCAGCTGGGCCATCTCTGCTCTTCCTGGGACCAGTGGGCTAGCCCCGCCACACCTTCTTATGATGGTGGTAGAAGAGCAGGAGAAATGAGCAAGGTCTCTTAAGGCTTGGGCTGGAATTTGCATACCCTCCCTACAACCTCATTCTATTGGCCAGAGCAAGTCATATGACACAGCTCAGTGTCAAGGGGCGGAATAAGTACTTGCCCTTTTGGCTGGGGCCGCTGCAGAGGGCCTGGATGCAGGGAAGGATGGAGAACTGGGGACATTGGGTAATGGCAATCTGCTGCAGTTGTGTCCAGTCTGATGTCTCTGCAGAACCCCGAGCTCCTAAAGCCTATTTTGGTCCGTGATGCCCTGAAATGACAGGGAAAGGGGAAGATCATCGCCATATGATCAGAGGGCCGGGGGAGAGGATGAACGGAGTTGGGGGTGGAAGCTCACCGTGGGGGACCAAAGAGGGACTGGTGGGGCTCAGCGCCCTCTACCCTTGCCCCAGCCCTGCAGCGGCTGCGGGGCACTGCAGACGTGGCCGGGGAGCTGGCGGAGCTGGAGGAGGAGCGGGTCGCCTGCCAGGGCCAGCGCGCCCGGCGCCCATGGGAGCTGTTCCAGGATCGCGGCCTGCGGAGGCAGGTGACGAGCCTCGTGGTGCTGGGCAGTGCCGTGGAGCTCTGCGGGAACGACTCGGTGAGGACCGTGCCTCATTCCCCCCACCCCCCACTGCAGGCTGCTGGCAGCCTGGCCCTCTGCTCTCTGTCTCCAGGTGTACGCATACGCCTCCTCAGTGTTCAGGGCGGCGGGGATCCCTGAGGGGAAGGTCCAGTTTGCAGTCTTGGGGACTGGGAGCTGCGAGCTGCTTGCGGCCTGCCTCAGTGTGAGTTTGTCATGGGCTTGGGCTGGGCTGACCCTCTACCAGCCTTTAGGGGTCGGGGCGGGAGGGAGTGACTGAAGTTCTCTACCTTGAGCTCTTTTCCACTCCAGGTTACTATGTTCAAATGGGGCGACTTAGCTAGCATTTATTGAACACCAACTGTTGACCGTGCACTTAACACACCATTTTGAGATGAGGAAACTGAATGCAGGGGAGGGGCCAAATTAATAATTAAAAAATCAATAGCGGGGGGGGGGGGGGGCCGGGGGGGGCCATGGGGTAAAAGCCCCTGCCTTCGGCTCAGGTCATGATCTCAGGGTCCTGGGATCAAGCCCCCCATCGGGCTTCTGCTTAACCGCGAGCCCTCTTTTCCCCTTTCCCCTTGCCTGCCCTCTGCCCACTTTGGGATCTCTCTCTCTCTGAAAAAAAAAAAAAAAAAAATCAATAGGGGCACCTGGATGCCTCAGCCACTTGAGCTTCTGTCTTCCAATCTGATGGTAATTTCAGGGTCCTGGGGTTGAGCCCTGTATTGGGCTTCCTGCTCAGCAGGAAACCTGCTTCTCCCTCTCCCTCTGCCCCTCCCCACTGCTCATGCTCTCTCGCTTGCTCACTCACACTCTCTCAAAAATCTTAAAAAATTAATGTCTTAATCTCCTGAAGCAATCAACAGCTCCTAACAGTCCCCCCTTCCCACCAGCTTCCCACTGCCCTCCCTTAAACCAAGGGAAGTATGCTTCCAGTGCAGGGGTCAGTGACCAGGGCTCCCTTCCTTTGCAGTGTGTGCTGATCGAGAGGTCAGGCCGCCGTGTGCTGCTGATAGGAGGGTACTGCCTGATGACCTGCTGGGGAAGTATTTTCACTGTGGCCCTATGCCTGCAGGTAGCTGGTGTGGGGTGGGGATGGAGAGGGCATGAGTGTTGCAACTTGGGACAGCCTGATCTCCACCTCACTGCACCCCCTCTGCCCCTTTACTACAGAGCTCCTTCTCCTGGATGCCCTACCTGGCCATGTCCTGCATTTTTGCCTTCGTCCTCAGCTTTGGCATTGGCCCCGGTGAGTGAGCCCAAGGAACACCAGGCTTTGGCATTGCAGAAGGAACTCAATTGTCTGTGTTCGTGACAGGTGGTTGTGAATGCTGTGTGTCACCTGCATGCCCCTCCCCCCAGCCTACCTGCGCTGAGGCTTCTGGGAGGGAATGGCCAGAGAAGAGGACGAGGGGTCCCCACTCCCATGTCAGGGACAAGGTTGGGGGAAGGCTGGGCTGGAAGCTCTGGCTGGCAGCCCCCTGTCCCTGCTCCTCCTTCTAGCCGGAGTGACAGTGATCCTGGCCACAGAGCTGTTTGACCAGAAGGCCAGGCCTGCTGCCTATATGGTTGGTGGCGCGCTCGTGTGGACCTTGCTCTTCCTGGTCGGGCTGGGGTTTCCCTTCATCAAGGTAGGCCTCCCCTGTCTCCCCCAAACACTGGGACCCTGTTTTAGGTTTTACCTCTGTCAGCAGCAGAGCCCCTGCTGGAGGTCTCCATCCTCCACCAGGAGGCTGGTGGGGTTGGGACTCATCTGAACCAAGAGGGACGGATCTCTCAACACCACCTGTCATGAGGCCTTCTGTCTGGCGGCTGAACTGGGCCACAGCAGGTCTCTGGGTCTCTCCACACCTGCAGGAGGGCTTGTCCCACTTTCTCTATATGCCTTTCCTCGCCTTCTGTGTCTGTGGGGCCATCTATACTGGCTTCTTTCTCCCTGAGACCAAAGGCAAGACCTTCCTGGAGATCTCCGAGGAACTGCACAGACTCAACTTCCCCTGGCACAGCCAGGGCCCCAAGTGGACGGGCCCAGAAGTCATCTTGTCCACAGAGCTGTAGCACTGTTAGGTATGGTGGGGGCCCAGATTCAGCTGTTGCTGTCTCCTTTGCTTCCTGCCAAGGGTCCTGGCCCCCTGCATTCCCTAGTTCCTGTGTTCATTTGTCTAATGAGTGCTTTTTTTAAATTTTTTATTTTTAAAAGATTATTTATTTATTTATTTGACAGAGAGAGAGAGAAATCACAAGTAGGCAGAGAGGCAGGCAGAGAGAGAGGGGGAAGCAGACTCCTTGCTGAGCAGAGATCCTGATGCAGGGCTCAATCCCAGGACCCTGGAATCATGACATGAGTGGAAGGTAGAGGCTTAACCCACTGAGCCAAGAAGGAATAAGCACCCATAACATGAGTGCTTATTAAACACCTACTGCTTACAGCCATGGTGCTGAGGGCTTAGCAATCCATGGTGAGCCAAGAGAGGTGGCATCAGGACCTGCTGGTAAGCTTCCTGTCTAGAGGAAACCAACAAAAAGGATCACAAACTCCGGGAAATGCAGTGACAGAAAATGCAGATTATAAAGTGTGTACAGGGGCACCTGGGTGGCTCAGTGGGTTAAAGCCTCTGCCTTCGGCTCAGGTCATGATCTCAGGGTCCTGGGATCAAGCCCCACGTCGGGCTCTCTTGCTCAATGGGGAACCTGCTTCCCTTCCTCTCTCTCTGCCTGCCTCTCTGCCTGCCTCTGATCTCTGTCTGTCAAATAAATAAATAAATTCTTTAAAAATAAATAAATAAAGTGTGTACAGACTAGGGAGCTTGACCTAGTTTGAGGAGGGCTGTCAGAAAAAAATTTTCTGGGGGTGCCTGGCTGTCTCCGTTGGTAGAACACGTGACTCTTGATCTCAGGGTTAAGTTTAAGACCCGTGTTGGGTGTAGAGATTACTTAAAAATAAAATCTTGGGGCACCTGTGTGGTTCAGCTAGGTAAGCATCCAACTCTTGATTTCAGCTCAGGTCACAATCTCAGGTTTGTGAGATCGAGCCCCATGTCAGACTCCACACTGGGCTTGGAGCCTGCTTGGGATTCTCTCTGCCTCCACCCCTCCCCAACCTCCACCTCTTAAAAAAAAAAAGGGGGGGGGCATACATTATAAAACCACCACTACAATCAAAGTGGGACATTCACATCACCCCAAAATCTTCCCCTTTGTCATCCGTACGCCCCCCCACATGCAGACCCAGGCAACCAGTGACATGCCATCTGCCATGATAGGTCACATTTAATTTTTTTTTTTAGAGTTTGATGTCATTCCATACTATATGTATGCATTTGTGTCTGGCTTTGCTCCCAATAGTTTCTGAGCTTCATGCAAGTTGTCACATGTATTATATTATTCTTTTGTGTTGCTGAGCAGTATTTCACTGTATGATAACTTGTTTACCATTTCCCTGTTGATGGACATTTTGGGCTGCTTCTGAATCTCGGCCATCACAAATAAAACTGCTATAAACATTCCTGTATAAGTTGTTGTATAGACAAATGTTTTCATTTCTTTCGGGTGAATAAATTTCTGAGTTTAATAGCAAATATATGTTTAGGGGAACCTGGCTGGCTCAGGTGGTAGAGTGTGACTCTTGATCTCTGGGTCATGAGTTCAACCCCACATTGGGAGTAGAGATTACTTGAAAAATAAAAGCTTTGGAATGCCCACAATAGCCAAACTATGGAAAGAACCTAGATGTCCATCAATAGATGAATGGATAAAGAAGATGTGGTATATATATATAATGGAATACTATGCAGCCGTCAAAAGAAATGAAATCTTGCCATTTGTAATAATGTGGATGGAACTAGAGGGTATTATGCTGAGCGAAATAAGTCATTCAGAGAAAGACAATTTTCATATGATCTCCCTGATATGAGGAATTTAAGAGGCAGGGTGGAGGGTTGTGGGTAGGGAGGGAAAAAATAAAACAAGATGGGATTGGGAGGGAGACAAACCATAAGAGACACTTATCTTACAAAACAGAGGGTTGCGGGGGGATGGGGGTAGGAATAGGGTGGCTGGGTTATGGACATTGGGGAGGGTATGTGCTATGGTGAGTGCTGTGAAGTGTGTAAGCCTGATGATTCACAGAGCTGTACCCCTGGGGCAAATAATACATTATATGTTAATAATAAATTAAAAATATGTATATTAGGGGCGCCTGGGTGGCTCAGTGGGTTAAAGCCTCTGCCTTCGGCTCAGGTCATGACCTCAGGGTCCTGGGCTCGAGCCCCATATCGGGCTCTCTGCTTAGCAGGGAGCCTGCTTCTCCCTCTCTCTCTCTGCCTGCCTCTCTGCCTACTGTGATCTCTGTCTGTCAAATAAATAAAAAAAATCTTTTAAAAAATATATATTAAATAAATAAAAAAATAAAAGCTTTGGGGTGTCTGGGTGACTCAGTTAAGCATCTGCCTTCAGCTCAGGTCATGATCCCAGGGTCCTGGGATTGAGCCCCATGTTGGGCTCCCTGCTTAGTGGGGAGCTTGCTTCTCCCTTTCCCTCCTATTCTGCCTGCTTGTGCGCTCACTGTTTCTCTCTGCCAAATAAGTAAAATCTTTAAAATAAAATAAAATAAAAGCTTTAAGGGCATCCCTCTCTGGTCCCCTCCCTCTTTGGGAGCTTTGTACTCTATTGGTTAATAAGCTTTACTATCACTCAATAAACCTTGCTTTGCTACCCACCAAAAAAATGAATAAATGAATGGATGGATGGATGGATGAATGAATGAAAGAATAAACAAAATAAAAGCTTTTAAAATAGTGAATGTATGTTTAGCTATAGAAGAAAAAATATATATAAAACATATATATAAAAAACTTGTCCCAAATGATTATACTGTTTCATTTTTTATAAGATTTTATTTATTTGAGAGAGAGAGAGAGGGAGCGTCACAGGGAGAAGCAGAATTCCCACTGAGCAGGGAGCCTGACTCGGGACTCTGGGACCATGACCTGAGCCATAGGGAAATGCTCAACCAACTGAGCCATGCAGGCGCCCATGACTGCACTGTTTTAAAAGCCCACTCGCAATGCACAAGAATTGTGGATGCCGTAGCTCTTCATCAGCACCTCGTATTGTCCATCTTTGCAATTTAGCTATGCTGCAGGCTATATGATGGTGTCTCATGGTGGTTTAATGCAGACATTTCCCTGACAACGAATCATCAAAATGCTCACCATGAGTATCTTCTCATGTGTGGAACATGGCGATTCATGTGTCTTTTGTGAAGAATCTGTTCAAATATTTCGTCCACTATTTTTTTAAAATATTTTATTTATTTGACAGACAGAGATCACAAGTAGGCAGAGAGGCAGGTGGGGGGTGGGGTGGGATGGGGAGCAGGGTCCCTGCTGAGCAGAGAGCCCGATATGGGGCTGGATCCCAGGACCCTGGGATCATGACCTGAGCCGAAGGCAGCGGCTTTAACCCACTGAGCCACCCAGGTGCCTCCCGTCCACTACTTTTTTAAAAAAGAAGTTAAGGGGCGCCTGGGTAGCTCAGTGGGTTAAAGCCTCTGCCTTCGGCTCAGGTCATGATCCCAGGGTCCTGGGATCGAGCCCCGCATCGGGCTCTCTGCTCAGCAGGGAGCCTGCTTCCTCCTCTCTCTCTGCCTGCCTCTCTGCCTACTTGTGATCTCTGTCTGTCAAATAAATAAATAAAATCTTTAAAAAATAAAAAATAAAAATAAAAAGAAGTTAAGGGGCGCCTGGGTGGCTCAGTGGGTTAAAGCCTCTGCCTTCGGCTCAGGTCAGGATCCCAGGGTCCTGGATCAAGCCCCGCATCGGGTTCTCTGCTCGGCAGGGAGCCTGCTTCCTCCTCTCTCTCTGCCTGCCTCTCTGCCTACTTGTGATCTTTGTCTGTCAAATAAATAAATAAAAATCTTAAAAAAAAAAAAAAAGCCTCTGCCTTAGCGGGGAGCCTGCTTCCTCCTCTCTCTCTGCCTACCTCTGATCTCTGTCTGTCAAATAAATAAATAAAATCTTTAAAAAAAAAAAGTTAAAATTTGTGCTGCCTGGGTGGCTCAGTCAGTTAAGCATCTGGCTCCTGGTTGCAGCTCAGGTTGTAATCTTGGAGTCATGGGATCAAGTCCTGCATTGGGCTCCATACTCAGCTCAGAGTCTGCTTGAGATGCTCTCTGCCCCTCCACCCCTCAAATAAATGTTTTTGTTGTTGTTGTTTTAAAGATTTTATTATAGAGACAGTGAGAGAAGGAATATAAGCAGGGGGGGAGTGAGAGAGGGAGAAGCAGGGTTCCTATGGAGCAGAGATCCCAATGTGGGGCTCCATACCAGGATCCCGGGATCATGACCCGAGCCAAAGGCAGATGCTTAATGACTGAGCCACTCAGGTGCCCCAAAAGCAGGATTTTTGAAGAAATGGTGGGTTTAGTTCCCACTTGCCATTGTTCTTCATCCCCCCCACCCAGGTGACAGCGTCTCAGAAACTCCCCACTGTCCCACCTGCCCTGTCTGGATCTTCTCTAAGTGTCCTTCTTGCCTCAGCAATGTCTCCTCCTCCGCCAGTGTCTCAGTTTCAGGGGATGCGTACACAGGCAGACCTTGAGGCAGTATTGGATTCCGGCCCACAGATTTCTTTATGAAGACCAGGTCACCCCAGTCTCCAAGTCCTTCTAGCAACTGCATGAGGAACCCCAGGTTGCCTTTGGGCCCATGTTCCATATCCTCTGCCGTTTCGGCTTCCAGCCCTCCCTGGCCAGTGGCACCTCCCACTATTGCTCCTAGAGGACGGTGCCCTGATTGTGACAGAGGCTGAAATCACACTCCCGGCAGGGGGTGCCACCACCAGTGAGTGGTCACAGCAGCCCTGGAGTTATCCTCCTAGCAGGGCTGTCCCCAAGGCTTCCACCCCCCACACACACACTTGCACGCACGCGCGCGCACACACACGCACAGAGAGAGAGCCTGTCCGCAAATTTTTTAAACTCTTTGGGGGGCGCCTGGGTAGCTCGTTCGGTTGAGCAACCCACCTCAATTTCAGCTCAGGTCATGATCTCAAGGCCGTGGAATTGAGTCCTGCCACCGACTCCCTGCTGAGCAGGGAGTCTGCTTGGGATTCCCTCTCTGTCTCCCTCTGTTGGCCCCTCCCCACCCCTCTAAAATCAATAAATCTTTAAA